GGGGACTCGCAGGGGCCCCCATGGGGGCCCCCTGGGGGCCCCCCATGGGGGCCCCCAGAAGAGGTATCAGAGGGGCCCCCCGGGTGGCGGGTAGAGTGTTGGTTTGTGTTATTGTGTTGATTGCAGTGTTTATAATAAATATGATTTGTGTGTTTGTATTTATATGTATTTATTTTATTTTTATTTATATTTATATATTTATGTTTATATATTTTTGTGTGTTTGTTTATCCATAGACAACGAATGCTACCGAAAGAAGAAAACAAAAAAAATAAATTTGCGGCTGAGACGAGAGAAGAAGAAAAATAAATAAAAAGGGGAGAGGGCAAGTAGCAGCAGCAGCAGCTGCTGATGTTGCTCTTAACAAAACCCATGCTGCAGCGGGTCCTGCTGCTGCAGTACCTGCTGCTGCTCCTGCTGCTGCTGCTGCTGCTGCTGCTGCAGGTAGCGGTGCAGCAGCAGCAGCAGCAAGAAGAAGATGAGGGAGACGGTGGGGGAGGCAGAGATAGAGGGGGAGCAGCAGCTACGATCGATAGAGAACAGCAGTCTGCTGCTGCTGCTGCTGCTTCTGCTTCTGCTGCTGCTGCTGCTGCTGCTGCTCCTTGTGTTGCTGCTGCTGCTGGTGCGTCTTGCTTCTCCAGAGACTCTGCTGCTGCTTCTGCTGTTGCTGCTGCTGCTGCTCCTGATATTTCTTCTGTTGCCGCTTGTCGTGTTGCTGCTGCTGTTTCTGCTTCTGCTGCTGTTGCTGCAGCAGCAGCAGCAGCAGCAGCAGCAGCAGCTGCTGCTGCTGCCTTGGGAGGAGGCGGGGTTAACCCCTCGCCCGAGATGTGTGTGAAGGCCATCGACTTTAGTGTTGCTGCTGCTGTTGTTGCTGTTGCTGTTGCTGTTGCTGTTGCTGTTGCTGTTGCTGCTGCTGCTGCAGCTGATCACTGGTGCTGTTGCTGGTGCTGCGCTGCTGCTGCTGTGTTGCAGCTGCTGCTGTGTTGCCGCTGCTGATGTGTTGCTGCTGCTGATGTGTGTTCCTGCTGCTGCTGCTGCTGCTGCTGCTGCAGAGCAGAGTCAGCTGCAGCAATTCTGGGGGCCCCCGGGGGCCCCTTCTTCGGTTTGGGTACTGCAGCAGCAACACACCCTGACGAAGACAGCAGCAGCAGCAGCAGCAGCAGCAACAGCAGCAGCAGCAGGGAGACAATCGCGATTATAAAGGGAGCAGCAGGCAGAATTTGTTGCTGCGGTGTATACACAAAAAAAAATAAAAAAAATATAAATTTAATTAATAAAATAAAAAATAATTTAATGTTAATATAAATATTAACATCAGCATTGGCGCTGCCGACAGAATCTTCGTCTTTGCTGCTGCTGCTGTTGCTGCTGCTGCTGCTGTTGCTGCTGCTGCTGCT